CCCTCACTAGGCAGGGGCTAAGGGGGCAGTGGTAAAGGTGTTTGGGAAGGTTCTGGGTCATCTGGTTTTCTTAGTCCAATATCCTGATGCCTTTCTGCAAGTCCATACAAGTTCCCATTTTGAGGGCGGTGGGGGCTTTGCCTAAGGCACAAAATACTAGATAACAGTTTAACCCACTGCTTCACTTTCATATACCCAGGATTCCAGCTTTCAGTCAAAGATAGGGAGGCCTTACATTCCTTATCTTGACCCAAGCAGTTCTACATTTAGGTCTGTCACTCCTGGTTCCAGTTTCTGCAGGAGCACATTCATTTGCAATAGAATGATACCCAACTTAAGAGCATTTATTGGTTCATACAACTGGGAAAGGTGAGGTTGGATCTGGCTTCATGGATGATGGGGTCCAGCTGCTGAAACAAAAGTTTGTTCTTTCTCAGCTCTCACCTCTGTTTCTCTCTATTGCTGGTCTCATTTTCTTCTCCTTCAGAAGAAACTGTGACATATGTAGACCAACGTAGTGTATTGGATTAATTGCTACTGACCAAGCGTCCATACAGCCACAAGTGGTGTGTGTGTGTGTGTGTGTGTGTGTGTGTGTGTGTGTGTGTGTAGGCAGTTTCACAGTTTACTAAGCTCAGGAGACAGCATGGCAAGGATGCTTCTGATGCAGCTTCCCTGGTCTTCCATGTTTCCTCAGAGAAACACCGGCTGACAGTTAAACATCTGACATATTAGGAAGCATAGTCACCCTAGGAAACTCCCACCAACTTCCTTTAAGAGTCTCTTCCTACACTGTGAGGCACAGGTAGTCACTATCAACTCATGGCACATCTCAGCCCCCTCAGCGGAACCTTCACTAATGGCAGGGAGTACACTCCAGGCGCTTTTGGATTTAACATCATCCCAATACAAGGACACAAGAGGAGAGAAACATCTTGCTTCAAGGTTCAAGATTAAAATCACAGGGAAGGACTACTTGGCCTGGCTTGTGTAATGTGCCATTCTAGGAGTTTTACCATTACAGGTATTATATTTAAGTCATTAGGGATGCCTGGGTGGCTCAGTCAGTTGAGTGTCTGACTCTTGATTTTGGCCCAGGTTGTGATTCCAGGGTCGTGGGATCAAGCCCCATGTCAGTCTCTGCACTGAGTGTGGAGCCTTCTTAGGATTCTCTTTGTTTCTTTCTCTTTCTGCCCCTCTCTCTGGTTTTCACACACTCTCTCTCTCTTAAAAAAAAAAAAAAAAAGTGATTTTCTCATGGTCATGAGATTGAGCCCCACATCAGGCTCTGAGCTGATCATGGAGTCTGCTTAAGATTCTCTCTCTCCCTCTGCCCTTCCCCCCCTTATGTAAGCTCGCGCTCTCTCTCAAAATAAAAAAATAAATATAATAATTAAAAAACACACTTAAGTCTTTAATCCATTTTGAGTTAATTTTTGTGAGTGGTATATAATAGGGCCCAATTTCATTCTTTTGCATGTAAATATCCAATTTTCCCAGCATAATTTATTGAAGAAGCTATCTTTTTCCTATTGAGTATTCTTGGCTCCCTTGACAAATATTACTTAGCTACCTATGTGTGGGCTTATTTTTAGACTCTTGATTCTGTTCCATTGGTCTATGTGTCTGTTTTTGTGCCTGTATCATACTATCTAGATTTGTAATATGATTCGAAACCAGGAAGTGTGACACTTGCTGCTTGCATTTCTTGCTCAAGCTTGATTTAGCTATTTGGGGTCTTTGGTGGTTCCATATGAATTTTAGGATTTTTTTTCTATTTCTGTAAAAAGTGCCTCTGGAATTTTGATTGGATGCATTGAATCTATACATGGCTTTGGGTAGTATAGACATTTTAATACTATTAATTTTTCCAATCCACGAACATGGGATATCATTCCATTTATTTGTGTCTTCTTTAATCTCTTTCATTAAACTCTTATAGTTTTCCAGGTACAAATCTCTCACTACTTAGTTAAATTTATTCCGAAGTTTTTAATGTGTTTGATGCTATTGTAAATGGCATTATTTCCTTTATTTATTTTTCAGATGGTTCATTGTTAGTGTAGAGAAACACAACTGGGATTTTTGTACTTTGATATTATATCTTGCAACTTTACTGAATTTGTTTATTAGTTCTAAGAGTTTTTTGGTGAAGTCTTCTAGGTTTTCAATATGTGACCTGCAAACAGAAACAATTATACCTCTTCTGTTCTTATTTGGATGTCTTTTTTTTTTCCTTTTTATTTCCTAATTTCTCTGGCTAGGACTTCTAGTACTTTGTTGAATAGGAGAGCTGGAAGTGGGCACCCTTATCTTATTCCTGATCTTAGAGGAAAAGTTTATTTTTATTTGTTTATTTTGAGACAGAGAGAGAGAGAGCACAGGGGAGGGGCAGAGAGAGAGGGAGAGAGAGATTCCCAAGCAGGCTCTGTGCTGTCATTGGGGAACCCTACTTGGGGCTCAAACTCACAAACAGTGAGATCATAAGCTGAGCTGAAATCAAGAGTCAGCCGCTTAACTGACTGAGCCACCCAGGTGCCCCATTAGAAGAAAAGTTTTTAACTTTTCACTGTTGAGTATGATATTAGCTTTGGACTTGTCATATAAGGCTTTTTAAAAGTATTTATTGAGAGTTTTTATCATGAAAGGATATCTTTTTTTTTTTTTAGGTTTATATATTTATTTTGAGAGAGAGAGAGACAGAGAGAGCACAAGCTGGGGAAGAGCAGAGAGAGGGAAAGAGGAAGAACCAAGCAGGCTGAGGGACGATGGGGGACTTGATCTCTTGAACCGGAACTGTGAGATCATGACCTGAGCTTAAATCAAGAGTCAGAGGCTTAACCAACTGAGCCACCCAGTGCCCCATGAAAGGGTATCTTTAAATTCTTATGTTTTAATTGGAGTTACTTTATATTCATTGAGGATATCCATCCATCTCCCTTTGCAATAATTCATGTTAGATTCAAAGTTAACTTATTCCTGCCTCTCCTCTTGTTATACGAATTTTTTTCACATCTATTTATGTTTCTCATGGTACTTCTTCCCTTTCATTCTGATATTTTATTTACATGTATACATTGCTAGCATTCACTGTGTTGAAGCAAAATGGCAGTGCTTCCTGCCTATCGCCATAGCTTTTCACAACAGTTTCAGCATCTTCCTTATCAGAGTGGCTGTTCTGATAAAGGCAGCTAAGCTTACTCTTCTAATCAGCTTTGGGCAGAACAAAATTAGCCTCATTTATTATGTCTTTCCTCATCGCCTCAGCCTGTATTGAGATAGCACAAATTGAAAAATGGACCCCTCTTAAAAATTGTAATAAAAAAAAAAATTGTGGGCAGAAAGAGGTGTCAATCTGCTAATTGCCTACCAGCCCAAATCAGTCTGGATAGGTCAGGATACTTTATTTCTTTGCCCTAAATATTGGATTTAATATTTAACAAACGTAGAACCACTAAGTATCAGGCTTCAGGGTTAAGAGTCTCCTCAGGTCTATTTGAAAATCTGCATAATGACCTCACTTTATCATTAATTGTAGATTTGGAGATTCATGAATTTTTCTTTACGTTTTAAACATATGAATTGCTCTTTCACCCTGGGATAAGAATATCTTCCTTATATTTTCCAGATAGAGTCAAATATTCCTTTGTGTCCCCACTGTTCCTTTCACACTCACACTCTATGTGATTTTTGTGCATCTGCCTTTGTGCCCTAGCTTTTAAGCCCCGGTAGCTGTATGCTACTTTACTCACCTCTGTATTCTCAGTGTGCATGCAGGACCTGTAACACAGTAGCTTCTCATCAGTTTTGAGTTAATGAAATAACACAAAACCTCAGAGAATGGGAAACAGGGCTAACTGCAATGTGCTGTTCTACAGAGTTTCAAAGCCTTCACTGTTTGCAATGAAGATGATTTTCTTAAGTTTGTGAAGTTCTGCCTTATCTCCTTTCATTTACTCTTTCCTCTTCTGTTAACCATTTTCTTGTCTCTTTCAACTGTCGGATCTCTCCCGTCTTCTTTACATTAACTCAGCTGTGACCAGGTGGTGGGGCTTTCCAGGCACTTTGCAAGTTTAATCCAGCACTGAGAGTCTTACAAAATTCTTACAGGTTGATAAGGAATGGGCATACCTTCTTGAAATTGCAACAGCTATTCTTAACCTCATTGATAACTAGTTTTCCAGTTCCCTGGGCTTGAAACAAATAAAGGGAAACTTTTAAATCAGGCTTAACCACTGGGAGTGTGTCTCTTGTGTCTCCCAAATAGTCACCTCATCTATCCTTTGTTATTCCTACTTTCAAGATCATCTTGGCCTCACTTGATCTGAGGCACTTGACCTTCAGTTGCATTTAAAAATCTCCTTTCTATAGGAAAAAAACATCATTTGGTCCCTGAGAGAGGGAACTGCTATAAAAAAGTCTCTTTTCCTAGCTCTCTGCTCTTTCTTGGTTTCTTTCTTTCATCAGTGGACAGAGATCAGGGCCTAAAAGTGGTATCGATGAAATTCATCGATCTTAATTAATGGAAGCCCTTCCAGCTCCCATCTGAAGAACACAGGAACTTCTGAGGCTCTAAGAAGAAAGATTTCTCTGGGCCCAAGGCCAGGCCCCATATTTGGGAGTCTGCTCAGAATTGTGCAATCAACTCCACATAGTCAAAAAGACCAGGAGATGAACTAAAATCCGTCCCTTCTATTCCCGAAAATTTGTGTTTTTATCCATAGTCTCCAGTCTTTTCATGGAGAGTATTTGATGCCTTAGACTGTGTTACAACACCAAGTCTCATATATGTCTTTGGAATGGAAATATTGTTATTACTCAGTGTACTATCTGGATATTCCCTAGTGAATTCCTTGAATGGAAAGAATGCATTTCTGAACCAAGAACTTCTGATAGAAAGGAGAGATACACAAACAAAAAGACATTTTCTCCTTATGATATTACTGTTATTTTGCAGAATTAGACTTTTGAGTATCCAGGACTCAAGGGGCTATTCCTACCTTTTTGAATACGTCTCCAGGCAGCCAATTTATTAGTGTGTATTGAAGGGTATCTATAAGTGACAGAGGCAAAATAAAGTAGAAGTGATTTAGCTGAATCACATGAGCTTCTAAGGAAGTGCTTTGTAAGAGATTGTAAAGCAGAATTCTACAAACTGCAGCTTCTGGCCCAAATTCAGCATACTACCTGTTTTTGTACCACTTACAAGCTAAGAATAGTTTTTATATCTTAAAATAATTATATTTTATTTTATTTCATTTATTTTTTAAATTTATTTATTTTTATTTTTGTTTAATGTTTTGATTTATTTTTGAGACAAAGAGAGACAGAGCATGAGCAGGGGAGGGGCAGAGAGAGAGGGAGACACAGAATTTGAAGCAGGGTCCAGGCTCCGAGCTGTCAGCACAGAGCCCGACGCAGGGCTGGAACTCAGACTGTGAGATCATGACCTGAGCTGAAGTCAGACACCCAACCGACTGAGCCACCCAGGCACCCCTAAAGTAATTAAATTTTAAATGGTTATGCATGCACCTACATAATATCCTCAATTTTGCTTGGGGCACCTGGGTGGCTCAGCCGGTTGAGTGTCAGACTTCGGCTCAGGTCATGATCTCGCAGTCTGTGAGTTCCAGCCCCGCGTCGGGTTCTGTGCTGACAGCTCAGAGCCTGGAGCCTGCTTCGGATTCTGTGTCTCTCTCTCTCTGCCCCTTCCCTGCTCACGCTGTCCCTCTTTCTCTGCCCCTCCTCCACTCACGCTCTGTCTCTCTCTCCTTCGGAAATAAACATTAAAAAAAAAAAATTTAAAAAAATCCTCAATTTTGCTTGACCCACAAAGCCTAAAATTTACTATTTGGTAAATTTATTATTTGGTTATTTATGGAAAAAGTTTGCTGATACCTGCTTTAGCATAATCATCTGGAAATATCAACAAAGAATAGGATAAATGCAGACTTCTATTCCCTCCCCAACTGTGGCAGGCTGAATAATGATTCCCTAAAGATATCCATGTCCAGATTCTTGGAACCTGTGGTTATGTTACCTTACATGACAAAAGAGACTTTACAGATAGGATTAAGTTAAGGGGATAATTGATATAAGAGATTATTCTGTATTTTTGGGGTAGGCCCAATGTAGTCACAGGGTCCTTATAAGAGGGAGGCAGCTGGGTCTAAGTCAGAGAGGATATGTGATGAAGAAGCAGAGTTTTCAGGGATGTGGCCATGAACCAAGGAATATGAGCAGCCTCTAGAAACTGGAAAAAGAACAGATTCCCCCCTGGAATCTCCAGATGGAACCAGCCTTGTCAGCCCCTTGATTTTACATAAGGCTCACTTTGGACTTCTGAACTCCAGAAATATCAGATCATAAACTTGTGTTGTTTTAAGCCACTAAGTCTGTGGTAGTTTGTTACAGCAGCAATAGGAAATTGATATGTCTATCAGCCTGTGCTCCTTGGGTTGTAGAAGAATTATAGGCTTCACTATAGAGTCTCAGACAATATACAGCATGCCTATAGACAAGCTGGGTAAGAGGAAGAGGTGCAACTGAAGAAGAAGTTTAGAGTGTAGAACATGTAGCTGATTGCAGATTGATGGTTTTAGAGAGCATTTGGAAAAGGCACCCAAGGAAGGGCTCAATTGTAATCAGTTAGGGAAGGAGAACTGCCAAGAGGAATGTGGCTGAAAGTCAGGGGGAGGTAGATGATTGGCAGACCTGGGAGATGAGACATAGTTGCATTAGCTAGCCTCAGGTTTCAAATGACCTCCACCAGGTATCTATCTGACATCTAATGATGTCTCCATTGGCAGAAGAAGAGAAAGGACAGAGGCCCTTAAAATGACAAGGGTGTGTTTTTGTCAGTCATATAAACTCTGTAACTTCTTTTCAAATCAGAATATTTATCTCTACCTGCCTCTTGTGTTCAGATCAATTCTCCTGTCTCTAAGAATCCACCTGCCCATTTTATTTTCTGTAATTTGCACATGGCGGTATCCTTGGCAACCAGTCATTTGTCGCAGATACAGCCCTTAGAGCTCAAAATCAGGTCCTTATTTCAAAAACTATTCACCAAACAAAAAACTATTCACCAAACACACCAATATCTGTTAAGATAACGTTTCTCAAAATTATGTTCTGCACCTCACCAGTTACCACTCCTTGGAACTAGGGGTCCATAGACCCATAGACACTTTTGGAAGCACTTCCTTAAATCAGTAAAACTGAATGTAAAACACAGGTTAAAACTGAAATTTGGAGTGAGTTCCTGCGTGTGTTCCAGGCCTTCGAGGAGCTACCCGTACATACAATTCCTGAGGTTTTTCTCAGAAATTTGGGTCCATACTGAAATAGACCCTACAATTCAAAATTATTTATGAACCATATGAGTATAAAAGCATGAAAATCCAAAGCTACTTTTGGAGGGTCTCCCCAAATATCTGAGTAGTTTTTAAACTTTTCTGAACCAACTTGCATGTGAGCACAATGATGCACAATGTCCCCTTTCCCAAGGGACATTCCCTTGACATGCAGGATGCATTTCCCAAGGGACATTCCCTTGACATGCAGGATGCCCAACTCTACCCTTTTGCCTAACCTAAAAGTGTGAAAAACTTTTAAGAATGCTGAGGTTCCCGGGCACCTGGGTGTCTCAGTCGGTTGAGTGTCTTGACTTAGACTCAGGTCATGACCTCCAGGTTCGTGAGTTTGAGCCTCACGTCCAGCTCTGTGATGACAGCTCAGAGCCTGAAGTCTGCTTCGAATTCTGTGTCTCCCTCTCTCTCTGTCCCTCCTCTGCTCGTGCTTTCTCTCTCTCTCTCTCAAAATAAATAAACATTAAAAAAATTAAAAAAAAAAAGAATGCTGAGGTTCCTTTGTTGGATTTGAAACAGAGCCACAAGGATCAACCTTGACATACTGCAAATAAAGAGGCAGGCGATTTGTTAATTGAGTTTAACTCCTCTTACATACTCAGTGCTAAAAGGGTATTCGGCCGGTAATTTCTTGTTTAATTGTCTGTCTCCTCCACTAGATTCTGAGTTTTATGAGGTCAATAAACCTGTCTTTTCAGTATTTCTAGCACAATGTCATGCCTTAGTGTGTGCTCAGTAAACATACATTGAATGGATAGCTGAATGTTAAGTTTTTAGCATCCCAAATCTCTTTTGAAATTCAGAGGCAATTTTGGCATTGTTGCTATTGCTATACAAGGTGGCAATACTAATTGTGTTGTTGTTATTTTCTGCCAGGCTATTTGAGCTGCCAATAGGGAGAAATTTGTTCTTTTGGTAAAAATGAACAAATAAATAAAATAACCTCTGATTATATCTGGAGATTTTATTAATATGAGGAAAACCTATGAAAGAGTAGAATGTTGGGGTGCCTGGGTGGCTCAGTCAGTTAAGCTTCTGATTTTGGCCCAGGTCATGATCTCACGGCTCTTGGGTTCGAGCCCCGCACAGGGCTCTGTGCTGACAGCTCGGAGCATGGAGCTGCTTCAGATTCTGTGTCTCCCTCTCTCTCTGCCCCTCCCTAGCTCACACTCGTACTCTCTCTCTCTCTCTCTCTCTGTCAAAAATAAACTTTAAAAAAAACAAAGAAAAAGAAAGAGTAGAATGTTTATAAAGCATTTTTTTTTTTTTTTTTTTTTTTACCCCTGAGATTCCTTGGCATAAGTTCTAGACTTTCCACTGGTATCATTTCCGAAAGTGTTAACTGTGTACTTACTATGTTTAAGACACCAAGAGAATTGTGTCCTTTACCTCAGTTTGCAGAGGAGGTAAGAAAGTACACGACGGCCTCTTTGCAAAGTATAATATGATAAACATAAGACTGAAAGACACAAAGTGCTAGAACTTTCCAGCGGCTGGGGAAAATAGGCATAGAGCTGCCTCTGTTTCTCTGAAGCATTCAGCCTTAGGAAGAATGAAGTCCTTCTGACACAAGAAGGCCAATTGAATACACATTCAAAGTAGGTACACATCCATTAGCCATCTCTTCTTGAAGCAGAATGCCTCCTAGTTGGTTGAGGAATAGCATATACACCCAGTATTGGCCTTTTTCTACAGGAAGGGCAGCCTTATCAGTACATTCTAGTTACCAGTAATGTTTACCTCCACATCTTGTTCGTGCTTCATGCACCAGCATACTGGGTTATTTCTTCTTTACCAAAGCCTTTAGTAGATAAGTATTCTTATATATAACAGAAACTTATAAGACAGAAATCTATCATCCAAGATTATCAGAAACTGCCCATCTAATCTAGGCCTTCTGTCTATTAAAAATAATTTTAAATTACTACATAGGGGCACCTGGATGGCTCAGTTGATTAAGCGACCAACTTCGGCTCAGGTCATGATCTTGTGATCCACAAGATTGAGCCTTGCATCAGACTCTGTGCTGACAGCATAGGGCCTGGAGCCTGCTTTGGATTCTGTGTCTCCCTCTTTTTCTGCCCCTTCCCAGCTCATGCTCTGTCCCTCTCTCTCTCAAAAATAAATGAACAGTAAAAAAAATTTTTAACGTCTACGTAACAATTCCTTTCTGAATATCCACAGAGGTCTTGGAGTTGGGTCTAAAAGTGGTGAGGACAATGACAAAGGAGAGGAAGGACAGCATCCTGGTTGTAGGCAATAGTCAGAAAAAGTTTCAGAGGTGGAATCAGGGGCAGTGGGTAGTTCCATTTAGCTAGAGGCATGAGACATCTTAGGGAAGAGGTGGGGATTAAATCCTAAAAGGTAGATTAGATTCTAGTTTCTGGAGAGTTGGACTTTGAGAACTGACTAATAATACTGGCCACTTGTATTTAAGCAATGGAAAGCAAGGGAAGATGTATGAACCAGAGGGTTATATGATCAACACATGCTTCAAAAAAAAAATAATAATCTGGATTGGAGAAAGTAGAGTCTTGTAGAAAGGGGTTTAGGCAGAAGACTTTGCAATAGTTTGGTTACAGAATCAAGAAGATCTAACAACTGATTAAATGTTGATAGGAGACAGAGGAGAAAAAGAAGAAGTCCAAGAGGGATCTGAGGGTTGGAATATGAATTATTTAAT